GTCGTATGGGAAGGCCAAATCGTTGCGCTTGTTAATGGACTTGGGGTCTGAGAACCGTGGCTCGAGCAGCTCGCGAAGCACTCACCTCTTGTTCCAGTTATCGCTTCTTCTTCTTCTTCTTCTGAACTGCTTCATGGAACTCGGATATTCTCCTCTATTGGCAGTTACGTCAGCGTCGAGAGGAGGACCGTTGCCTTAGTCCTTGACATCGTAGGCAACCCCAATCAGTTTGTTGCAGTCCGCATAATCTTGGATTGCCTTGGCCGTCCGAACCACCCAGGCGTCCTACAGTTCCAGCATCTGCTGTTGCACAAGGCACCGACTTAGGTAACAGGCAGTTGTCTTTGCATCGGTAGGACGGTCAACATAGGATATACGTAGCTGATTCCACTCGGCGAGCAGTTTGATGATGGCTGTGTCTTTTTCGTCGAAGCAGTCTTGTTTCGTTCGAGGTGCGTGGCTGAAACGTTGGTATAGTGACTGAAACGTTGGTATAAGGTCGTCTCTGTCTTGTGTCTCCTGGCCAAAAAATACCTGTCACGTAACAAGATAAATATCAAATAAGGCATTAATAACGTATTATTGCTCTGTTGGTCATCAATTGCATGTGGATCACTGGCGAATGTATACTGTAAAATCCAGCCAAATCCCTGAACAACCCTAACCTTTAGAATCCGAACTGCAATCGCCAATTGTTCTGTCCCATTCCCATCTCGAGCTAAACCATTTCTGAACTAAAGCCCTTGAAACGCACTTAAGGCATTCGTTTACAGCTTGATTCTCTTCATACACGGACCGAGCATTAAAAAATGCAAGTAAAACATGGCATTTGACGCTTTTGCCGAACAGGAGTACCTCCATTTTGACTCTCCTTTTAATACGGTACTTTTCAAGGTGGTTTCAATTTTTCAAAACATGAACGGCGATAACGGGGTTTATGTGGCTGGGGACCATAGCGACCACAGCACGTCGAATGAGAGCCCAAAGGCCAAAGTGCCGAGGGTTGAAACAAGGTATCTCTTGTAGACATTCGCATCCTGCTGTTGCTTTGCGTCTTCCGGTTCAGCTTCTTCCATCTGTCATGTATTTGCTGAAATCATTAACTAACCTATTTTTGAAATAACACGTCTCTTGCTAGTTCCTGTGTTATTTTAAACATAATCAAAAAGACAGGATCCAGGAATACTATAGGTTCGATAGTTATGTTGACTGTTTGTCCCTTCGCCGTAGCCGGTCTTGCTCTTTTTACCGTTCTTGACAAATTTTCTTCGCATGCATGATCATTATTTTTCGGATCCCTATGCAACCAGTTGTGTGCAACGTTAGTTTGCGGTAAATGAATGTTTATAATCCCGTTCGCTTGCGCTTAGGCTATAAACAGAAAATTCGGTTACCGTCCTCTCGCAGAATTTAATCTGTTCAAGAACGTCTCCTGTTTGTTTGTCTCTTCTCTTCCGTTGAATAGATTCTCCGAACATGTTGATACAACACCACCCTTCCGATCTGGTGCCCCGCCAATGTGCCGGCTTAGCTATAATCGACCACCGTTGCGTGGACCCAGAGGCATACCTGTAAATGGAGCACCAAGGTACGCCAATTTTTCAATTATGCTTGATAAACAGTCATATGCCACGGCCACCAATGGTTCCACCTTTCAGGGGCCAGCGAGGACCCTTTATAAGGCCTACACGTCCTTTTGATGGTCCACCCGGAGGCTATG